TACATGTTTGACGTTTGTACATTCAAAGTATATATATTCTAATAGTTTCCTCTCTATACCTATACAGAAATATACAATATATTGCAGCCTAATTTACATAGGTATCTATTTTATTCCCCAATATAATCTTCAGTTACATTATAATAATATAATCTTCTATGATCTGTGCAATCAATTTATAAACAAAAGTTGTAGGTATTTTTTAAACAGTATTTGCAAAGTACAACGTAATAATAATAATAATATCAATATATTGATATAATAATGATAATTCAGACTTTAAGTGAAATTTGATTGATACTCTTGAATTTTATCATTACATGTTTTATATTTTTCATTCAATAGTTAATTTCAAATACTTCCCTTATTTTTGGAAATTTCAACTACATTTTCATTCTCATTAACGTATATATATATATATATAATATATATATAAATACAATACCTATCATACCATTAGGTATATTATCATTTTTTTCAATTATACATAATACGATCTATTTTATATACCTATACTATAACTAGGTATAGCGGTTAGTGGTGGCTATTATTTGTAACACCCTTTGTACAATTTTACACATCATTAGTTAATATCCAAATACTACTGAAAGAATACCAGTATACAAGAGCTATATATAGAAGGAATTCTAACTATTTGATTTTTTTAAGAATATACCAGTATATTGGTAACAGAGGCCCGCGATACCTTTAGGTAATATATATTTAAAAATACACAATATAAATTATATATTTAAATATTTCATAATCAAATTGAATCTATAGACAGTTTTTTGTTAAGTATTTAGTTATTCAAATATAGCTCTTTATATTCGTTCAAATACTGAAAAACCTACTTTTATTATTAAGTATTGTAATGTCTCCATATTCATAGTCAACTTATAAAATAGTTCATACAAGTTGTGTGGTCTGTGTACCTACATCTGAGAATCATAGTAGGTACCTACCTATCTAAAAAGTAAAATACAGTAGATAATTAAACATGGTTATTTAATTGTATTACTTATTGAATAATTATTATATTATTAGCTCTAAATTATAGGTATAACTATTATTGGTTATTGTTCAAAATCACTAATTCCCAAAAACTTAGCCCGTATACATAATTAATATAATTATAATATTACAGTTATAGCTTTTATATATTTGTATATAATTATTCAAGATAAAATTATATGGATAGGTAGTAAAAAAAAGTTGCTAAAAAGCGGGTTTTTCTGAAACTTGTTATTTTTAGTCCAAGAACTTTTTATATTTTATGCAACATATAAATTTTTTTAGAAATTCTCCAGAATTTTAACCTCTTAATTAATTATGATATATTCCATCTATTATGTATACATTATAATTGAAATCACCTACGATTCAAATAAAATGTTTACCTATATTTTCAGATTTTGTTTTAGATGATATACAAAACCCCTATACTTACGATAAATCTTTGTTTAAATAGCGGTTTTAATGTTAATGAATTAAGTAACACTCATTATTCATTAAGTAAACTTATCCATAGCATGACGCATATATTCATTAATTATTATTTATTACATGTATATTATCGGCATAAAGTTTAAAAACTATACATAGTAATTAAAACTAATAAAGTACTAATTGTTTTCCAAATAAATATTTTAAGTGCATAAATATTAATAATATATATAGCTATACCTCTTAAATAAAATAAAAATATTAGTTTTAATATATTAGGTATTATATAGATTATAGGTAAAATTTACATGTTTTACTAAATAAAATAGGTAATAACTAAGCCACCATTTATTATTTACATATATTATTTTTATTAATCCTCTATGTCTAATTGTTTAATGTATTACTTTTATAAAGGGTTCTTATAAATAAATAAATAGGTACCTACCTATACCTAACTGTATAAATATGTACCTAGATACCAGTAAAGTAATTAACGCATTCGTATTTAACGTTTTAATAACAAACTTTTAAGCTTTGTATGTTATAGTAATTATTTGCGTTATATTTTGCAAGTAAAAAAGTCTTATTATATAACCTATGTATAAAGGATGAAAAGAGTGAAAAAACATTCATTTTTTTTTTATTAATCTTTTAACTGTATAATAACTGTGAGGAAAAGAGAGGCAATTAAAAATAAAAACAGCAATCGCGCGTTGCAATAACAAAAATAAAAATAAATAGTTTAAACAAACAAAAAAAGAAGGTGGTTAAATGGTATATTATATACCTACAGGGTGGAGTCAATTAGAATTAGCGTCATCATCCGCGAGGGTTAAATGTGTATCGCTCTTGAAAGCGGGGGTGTGTTTTTATATTATTTCATTAATAGCTGCCCCCATTGCGAGTATCGCGTTACCATTTCGAGAGCGTGTCGTATATATTGTATATAGTACCTATATATATGATATATAAATCTCGTATAGTATATATATATATATTGAAATGTGAGAAAAATGAGTTGATATAGGTACATAAATATATACTTATACACATCGTTTGTATCGTTTGTACAATATATTTGTATATATATGTATAATATGCAGGGTACGATACGCACGTCCCAAGTCCTTTTATGCGCACGCCACTTGTGTATAAGTAGAAATATAACGCGACACACGCTAATAATGTTGTACGTATATATACTGTTATTATTATTATTTTCTTTTTCGACCCCGCAGTTGAAGTATGTGCTCGAGGGGTTCCGAAGTGGTCGAATTATATCATAAATATATATATATATATGAGTGTGTGTATATAAATGATATCGTAGCAGCAGAAATGGCGGTGCTCGAGTGGCCTTCGCCTATATTATTATATGTATATTGTTATTATTACTATATACGTATACATAAATGCACCAGAACAAATTAGCTCCGGAAACTAAATATAGGCAATGAAACACCCTATCCGTGTGTATAATAGTGTGTACGTATGTATTATATATAAAAGCACCTATGACGTTACACAATGTTTTTAAACACTGTAAACCGCACACCATATAAAAACGTATATTATATAGGACAATAAGACGTGATGGTGTAGTAGGTACGTCATGGAACATATATATGTAGCAAACTGTATATTATATATTATGTTAACTTTAATCGATGTGATGATTGTTGGCATAAAATGACAGTCAAGAATATCACATATTATTTACTTACATAAGTACATATTTATATAATATTATACCAAGGCTGGGCGGGTTAACTAATTTTTAACTCGTTAGGAACTCGAGCGGTTATTATTATATAAATATAAGTAAAGTTGTAAGTTAAAAATCGCTCTTTATTTTAACTTGCAATAGTTCCAAGTTATAAAAAAAAATTTAATTTATCTAGTTAAAAATCAGTACCTATCTATATTTTGTCTGAAATCTGAATATGTATATTATAATCAATGCCAAAGCACATTAACCCAATTTAATGAAAGTATAATATGACGGGTATATAGGCACCCAATATAATATACATAAAAAAAAGAGAAATTTTCAAAAAAAAAACACACACACATAAGTGTAATTTTTGGAAATAATAACAGAAAACCATCCAATATAATATATATACGTAGTATCCTATACATTATATAACAACTGTTTAGCTATAAATTATTTAGGTTGACTTGCAGTATTAGTTAACTTTTCAGAGATCACCACGACACCAACGTCAAATAGGTTGTCTGGTGTAGTGTTATTGTTGTGCGATTTGAAATTTATATGTTTGGGTGGGATTGTAATTTTCTATGGAAATTTAGAAAGTTATGTGTATGTATATTTTTATACATGTTGTTTATATCGCTATTGGACTTTGATTGAATTTTATTTGAATCAAAGTAAATTCAAGAAAGGTAGCAAGTAACACAAAAAAAATGCATTCAACAATTCGACAGCGGTCTAAAATTTAGCATTTGCGATAAGTATATGTGCCTATAACACTATAAACAATTCATATTTGCAATTATTCAAATGTTTTCTATATACACATTATAAACAATAATTTGTACAAAATAAAATGTGTTTCAAATCTATGGAGCTTACAAATTATATCAAGGAAAATGTTAACTTCACGTTCACACGATTATAAAATTAATCATCTGATTAACCATACATATCATAGAAAAAATGTAATTCGTTAAGTTAGAACTTAGAAATTTATAGCTTATAGTTATTTGTTTATATAATTGTATGTGCATAAATCTAATATAGGTAGTTTCGAAATTTCGTTTTTCTTTTAATACCTATGTATTTTTCACTTAATTATTTATCGTAGGTATATTCAGTTTCTAACGATTTGTGCAAAGCAGAAATAATTCAATTTTTCCACTGCAATAAGACTTTTGTATGTTATTGTTGTTATGGACTGACGGTATTTATACGCCACACATTTTCCGCCTGGTTATTTCATCAACATTTTAGTCATTTTTAATAATAATACATACAATTATATAATATATAGGTAATATACCGATACAATATTATTATGTAAGTTGCCTGTACAGTGATTAATTTTTTTAACTTCAAATAATTTTCTTTTACATAATTTTGATTTCGTATATTACCTATCTAGTATCTTCGTGCACACTTGCATTCCCGTTTTCTTGATTTTAGTTTCTGTAACTTCCGAGCCATATCATTATTACGACGCGATGTACCTCCTACACCTAAACTAAATAATACCTGCAGTATAATGTCGGTATAGGAAGGTACATAATATATAAGTATTGTGTATTACCACGGTTACGGGTTTATACCGCTATGTATAATAATATGACAAACACGTTTTCGGGGAAAGTCTAATCCTATCCCTACCATGTACTCGTGCCATAGACATAATACGCACATTATATTCCCTACATATTATGTACCTATTCAATGTACCTGATGACTGATGTGTATACAACTTATGCGTCACATAGAGTAGAAATTATTTTGTCTTATACACATCCCGCTCAAATCGACGTTTTCGATAAACTGTTCCAGAGTTCCTTCAAGCATGTTACAAGGCATTACAAGATCCGAACAAGCGGGCTTACTGCCTCATCATCACCACCATCACCACCATCACCATCACCAATCGTTGACCTCCCACCATGGGATCGGCACGGGATCAGCGTGGCCGCCTAACCATCACGACGATCTCGCACACAAAGGTAAATAATCTCACATGCGTTTTACCACCGCATTCCATATAATATTATAATAGGGACCTTTATTATTATAACATAATGTAGGTAACAGTATATAGGTACCTATATATAATGTATTATATAAACAGTAAACACGTATTAGGTATATGTAAAGAGATGAAAAGTTAGTAAAATACGATATTTTTTATTAAATATATATATATATACATTATACATACCTGTTATAATAGACGGTTTTTTTTACGCACATATCGACTAAACTCGGTAGATTGACTATAGTTTGGTCAGCAAGAGTGAGTTACAAAATCTGGAATATATTATACGAAGAAAATTAAAATAAGAAGGATAGTTATAGGACTATATTATATACGAGTGATAAATATATATATATATATATAGAGAGAGAGAGAGAACATTTCCAACGGGTTATACGAGGAAGTGTAGTATTTCTATCATTACCTACATATGTGTATATATGTATGTGTGTGTGTGTGTGTGTGTGCTTGTGTGAGTGTGAGTATGTGTGTCGGTTTGAAGACATGATTCCGTGTGACTGGTTCACTCATGGATGGAAAAATAACCGTGCGTGTACAGAAACCAGCTTGCCGTGTATAATTAAAGGGAAAACGGGCGGAAAAAATACGCACACATGAAAGAAAATGTTGTTTTTTTTTTTTATATTATTATTATTTTATTAAAATAAAAACATCAGACGTATTGGGTTTCGCCTGACGGGTCCCGGCCACCCTGTGTACGACGGTGTAGCGGTTTTGTGTTTACCTTCGGCACGATGGAAGACAATATCTCGTTATACGACACCGTATCGAATGAAAGACGTACCTATATATAATATTGGTATAGGAAATAATATATTAGACACATCGAGTTTATGTATAGGTATACGTGTAACGCGTCTGTCAAATGTCGTCAAGTCCGACATCTCGTGTGATGCCGGTGCGCTGTATAGGTAATGTAGCCGAGATTGCTATGTGATGACATGCTGCTTGTTTTCCTTATACAAAACTCAATTCTTATAATGTATACAAACTATATATACTATAAGGCTTTTTAGTCATATAGCAATAGACGAAGGCACCTCCCACCGGCGTGATTAATAATTACTTCCAAAACAATACTATCGATTTGAATTATTATACAATTTTAAATTGAATATATATTATATATAGCGGTGTATTATTTATAGAAGTAAGATATATACTATGTACTATGTACATTGTACATGCTATACAGTGTATATAATATGAAATAAAACATGACAACTGCAGCATATATATTCTATTTGAATAGGGGGCCATTATTTTATATTATTATTATTTTTGGTAAAAAAGTAATACTCTATCTTAGATCCCAATAGATTTATGTCACATCAAATAAATTTACAAAAATTGATTTAATTAAATTTATTATTTGTAAGCATAAATTAAACAACTTTATAAAAATCACGACACGGATATTAATTATTACGATATGCACGAGTACACGACTGTAAATCCCGGTTTTTGTAAAATATACAATATACAATGCTGCAGTATATAATACACAGATACCTACGTACAAATTACATGCAGGTTTCGTTATAAATAATAATTTTTTACTAGCTTCGTATTGATTCTTTCTGCAGATTTCTGTGAACATTTATGTATAGTTATAATAAGCAAGTAAGTACATAATATATACATGCGTAGTATTATGCTACATTATATACGATAATTTGTTCACTCGATTTATAAATCAACCGGTTTCCATACAACGATAGCTATTCGTAGTAAAAGCCTGAGAGTATAACGACGTGTTATTATTATATTTTGTCATCATTATTGTATTTTATCGGAGCGAAATTTAAAAATGACTTCTCGACCGCGCCGCGAACAATACGCACGCGGCGGCGTCGTCGTCGTCGTCGTCGATCACAGCCTCTGCAGAAACGGTATAACAGTAGGAAGTCGTCGATACACATAGTGCCCACGAACTATTTTTTTTTCTCATTGTTATTATTATATCGTCGTCGGTCGTGTGATGAAATGTAATTATTATTTTCATACGACGTCAACGCCAAGGAAGAGAGAAAAAAAAACAAATATATATATAATAAATCTCGGATATAGCTGAAAGGGTTGTGCGAAGAATATACGGCGGGAACGACGGACGGTATATATGTGACGCACGTCGAACACAATGATGATGATGATAAATAATAATAATAATAACAGTATACCATGTATACCGAGTGCGTTTATTATATTATAGGCCTCGAGGGACTCGCGAGTGCATAATAATAATATATAACATGCGCGGGTATGTGTCCTCTGCGTGCGGCCTTCGCGCGCGTATATATAGGTAGGTGGTAGCAGCATGCGTATGGCGGCGGCGGCCCGGCTCAATGGGACGTGGCAAATATATCGTTTCCCAAACGGCGACGCTAATTTAACGAGGTCACACGCTGCGCGGTCCCTTTTTGAGCTCGGCGGCATATTATTATTATATGGGTTATATAGCGGTATCCTACACTCAGCTGCGGCTTCTTCTTCTTCTTCGTCTTCTCCACGTCCTCCTCCTCGGGTTCTATTCTATTTCTACGACGCTATTCTCTCTTTTTTTTTCACACCTGTCACCCAGGGTTATTGTATTTTTGCCGAAATTCCGCCGGGCCGTCTCACGCACACGCGCGCATCGGGCAGGCATATATGATATTATGATGCGATGACTACACTCCTCGTAGGCGTACGACAAATTGTGCAACATTTTATTATACAGACCGCTCAAGTATTATACGAATATTATATGGATACAGACGTCACTACGTCAAACGTACGATCGTCAACATCACAGTGCGGTGCCTATTGTTGAAATCGCACATAATGTATTATATAGGCACGCGCATTGTATACGAACGCGATTTGAGTATTATTTTTCGTCATAACGTCGTCGTCGAAAATATATTGTAGACGAGTACACCTTCCCATGTATTTTATGACGAGTGAAACGGCAAAGTCGTCGACATTATAACGAATAAACAGCCAAGAATACTCTGATAAAACTTGATGACAGGTACCATAGGTACATAATATCATGTATTATTCAACCAGCTATTTATTGTATAAACGTGTATTACATAATATATTATTATACCTTGGAATATATTTAATAATGTACCTGCACAATATTTTCAAGTAGATCTATGCATTATATTATTATAATTACTATAGTATACAGGGGTGTCCATCGCATTTTCTCGTTTTCCCGTGTCTAGTTACAATTGAGAAAACGGAAAACCACGGAGGGCAATCACTCCGTTGCAGCACAATGATTCAAGACCTACCTATCTATCTAAATATTTTTTATTATTTTTTACATGATTATTATAGACCACCATAAGAATTTATTATTTGTTTTACACTGCAATTTAGTGAAATCCTGATGATAAAGATAAAAGATAATTTCTTTATTTCCATCGAAGACTATGATTAATATTGTTCGAGTTTTAAGTACAGCTCCTGTACGGCTGCAGGTACCTGTAATATATTAAACACACAACATTGTTTTATTTCGTAAATACAATTACGTTTACTGCTGTAATGCTGTTTGCCAAACATATTCGCAAGTTTTTTTTTTTTGTTTTTAACTATTGGATTGTAAAAAAAGATTTATAGGTAGGTGTGTATTAATCAACATTTAAAACAACAAAGGAAGACTTAAATTATAATTTATAACCTTGATATTTATTTTACTCTGCATCGTGTACATCGAGTTTAATGATTATAATATTTTTAAATGTAGAAATAAACTAGTATTTTACAGAATTAACTTCGCAATTCGACACAATAAATTATCAAGGCCAGTGTTAACATATTTTTCATTTATATGGACGTACAATAAAATATAATAAAAATATATATTTTATTCAACAAGATTCAAGAATCGGAATATAATAATTACAACTGAAACTAAATTATAATACCTAATGTCATATACACAACTATACCTATCTAATATAATATAGTCTAATATATAGACTATTATACTTAATGCCATATACAATTAAATGAAAGAGAACAAAGTGTATGAATGTCGACTAAAATGTAATTATAATTTCACGTTCTTGAAACATAACTATTTCTACACGATAATACAGTTTGTAATCTACGGAATTAAAATAATATACAAATTTAAAACCACAAATTAGATTACCTCCACGCAACTGGGCGACCCTCTTTTAAAAGATCTACACTGCAGAGCAGGCGAGCCGACCTCGCATATACATACCAATCCGGGAGTGTTTTTGATGTACAATTTTTTTTGTCGGGGAGGAGTTTTCTATTCCCCCTTATATTTTTTCTTCCAAAGACATAGTAGATCAAGTTATGTATATGTGTGTGTGTGCGAGCGCGTGTGTGTGGGTAGGGCTACACGGGGAGAGGTTCCCCTTTAAGATATTGCACGCTGCGTGCAAATGACACGCAGAATTAACTGCTCACCCCCTTTCCCCAACAACAGGCGGGTGTCTTGTCACCCCAAAAAACCCCATGGATGGCTGGTAAAGGGAAGGGAGGTGGGTATGACATAAGAGGTTCTGGAAATTTCGGAACGCCAAGTGCTGCTTGCGAAACAAGAGGAAGGGTGGAGGGTGATAAAAATGCGTAAATGGCGGAAGAGCAGGGGTAAGCAAAGTCGTTGGCCGGAAAAGCTCCAAGTGCCTTTTTTTCTTTTTTACACCAGCATCTCGCCTATATTCGAACAGTCAAGAAAATTCTGAATAAAATAAAATATATGTGTACACAAACGCAGCTATAGTAATAACTGCAGGCCTAAAATAAACGGTTTTCTGATTTATAAGTATAAATATTTTTATCTTATTTATTTTCAAGACACTATTTTCCAAATACTTTATGAATACTTTCCATCAGGAATCTCTATTGTATATTACTGCAGTGGCACCGAAACCAAAAAAATCAGGTAGAGTGAACTTTAAAAATTATGAGACA